GAGGAGGGGGGCATGAGCAGGAGGACAAGAGGAGGAGGGGGGCATGAGCAGGAGGACAAGAGGAGGAGGGGGGCATGAGCAGGAGGACAAGAGGAAGAGGAGGGCATGAGCAGGAGGTCATGAGGAGGAGGAGGAGGAGGGGGCATGAGGAGGAGGACAAGAGGAGGAGGACAGCTCCTCATAACAGCTCAGACTCGCTCAGATGACACAAAGAATGTGAGTCCACGCTTCGCGACGTCCAACAGACATCAGTGTGAGGGAGGTGATCAGCGAGGACATCCAGCTGCATCCACAACAGAAGCAATTTGCTCGCCACGTTTCGTGACAGCTGATTGCACCCGGTTCTGGTTACCCAGGTAACTCTACAAACAGGCCATACCCGTGTTCATCAGTGGTATCCTGCGCTCTCATTGGACGACATTTCAGTCACCTGTCTGGAAGTTGTGAAAAGAAAGGCTTGAAGTCGCCATGTTGCTTCCAGTGTGGACGTAGCTTCGGTGCCACAGGTCTGAAGCTTGGTCGCTAGAAAAACGTATGCGCTCCCAGCTGATGGGCGAGTGGCAGCAGGAGGTCACCGACAGTCACCGGCGTGAAATCGGGACTCACAGAGGAAGCCGCTCAAAACGTCTTTGTGATCGATTTAGACGCTAACAGAGGAGTCCACTGTGGACACTTTCAAACATGTCGCTAAGCAACGGTGCCTTCAAAGTAAAAGGTGCTTATTTTGTTAGTTTCTGTGGATAGAGACAGCTTTTATTTTGAAGAGGAGCCATCACTGTTTCCAGTTTGTGCTGCGCTTTTTAATTTCATCAATGTTCGCTGGTTAGCTAGCTAACATCTGCAGCCAAGTCAGCATCTTCCACTATGGGAAACTGGAGCGACCAACTTCACACTTGTGACTATCAGCAACCTGCTGGGAGAACACATTTTTCCTTAGCGACCAGCAGTTGCCAGGTAATCCCTACATTAGTATTGTCACAAAAGATCTCCCCTATCCATCTATCAATCTAACCCTAAAGCAACGCCTGAATCCTCCCAAAGCACCCAAGCTAACCCGTTCAGACGCTAGCCCATCAAACTGCTATTATATAAATATTTCAGTGCTGTTGGCCAATCAAATCACAAAGAAATTACAAAGAAATCCTGGGAGGGGCAAGATGATTGGTTAAACAGTCTGTAATGTGACATCAATCACTGTAGCCTGAAGTATGTAAGCACAGTTACAGGTAGGGTGTGTTAGCCTCTCTCGTGACTGGTTGGTTGTCACTAAAGACACGCCCACAATCACATCCCAACGTGTGTGAGATTTATTAAAAAAAAAAAAAAAAAAAAAGTGCAAGCGCAGTAGTGCAGACAATAGCCAATCAAAACACATTAAATCGTCCCGAGAGGGCGAAGCAGTTACTCAAGCAGCCTGTAATCTGACATCAGCGTTAGCAGGAGGTTGATCATCACCGTGACTAACCGCTCTTCTTCTGTGTAAACAAAGTTAGTCACAGGCAGCTAGGTTAGCTCAGGCTAACTGCTAATCAAAGCATCTGTAAGCCTGCACTATGACTGAAGGGAACAAACCCCGCCCCTAAGAGTACAATTAAAAAAAACAAAAAAAAAACTAGGCCACGAGCTAACTTGCTAGCTTAAATCCATTAGGTAACGTATGCTTTAGTTAGCTTGAGTTAGCTCGCAGGTGAACGCTGTAGTCGCAGTGGTTTTCAGTGAAGAAAAAGCACAAACACAAAAACAAACCTCGTTTCTCTGGACACTTTTGTTCTGAATAAAAAGTCTAAACATAGCAGTCAAACAAAATACCGTCGAAAAGGGAAGAAATGATCAAAAACGGTGATGAATCTAAAGCTGCATGAATCTTAATAAAAAAGGAAAAATCAACAGAGATTAGCCACAAATGGGAATGCTGCCCAATTCCTGGGACAGCCTGTAGGTGGCGCTGGGTGAAGTCATTCTCGGGATATTTCCAAGGCTGGAACTCTAATTTGCGGAACGAGCCGGCAGAGACGGGTTAACGCCGTGTTAACATTTCAAAGTCACAAAAATGTCTGTCTGCGTGTCGTCTTTTTGAATCTTCTACACCTTGCTGAGGTCGAGTTTGGCGATGTACGGCGAGCGGAAGGAGCCCAGGTACAGATTCCCATCATGCTCGTGGACCTCGCTGATGTAGGCTGCAACCAGGCCGTTGGGGTCGTGGAAGCTCCGCGTGCACACGCCACCGTCGTGGAGCTCTGCAACCAAACTGTACCGGGGAACAAACTTCATCAGGATATCCTGGCTGAAGAGCTGCAGGAGGGTGGAGGAAAGGTGAGAGAGAAGGAGACAGACAGGAAGGAGTTAAAGGGAAATCAGGCGTGCTCTGTGACGGTGATGAACCCGGCGTGACCACTGCTCATGTTTTCCAGTGTCTGATGCAACAGCGCTCGCTCCAGGTCAAAGTTTGCAGACAGAGCAGCCAATCAGATTACAAAACTCTGGGTTATGACTCATTCATGTTCCCGGACACCAGGACGAAGGAGAGGCGCTCTGAAACGCATCATCACTCCAGAGTTCACTGCCGTTTACCCCACAAACCAGTGGGAGTCGTACACGTGACGGAGTTTTAACTTTAGCAACGTCGTTAGTAATGATCATTAAATCGGTTGGGGGTCAAACCCAGCTGACTCGTGGCGCTCACTTGAGTGTGTGCCGAGGATAATTAAACCAAAGGTCAAAGGTCGAACACTCTGAATGACGTTTCCTCCTAAACTAAACAGAAGATGACAGCAGACCCCCAGTGACGGCCGCTCCACGCGGTTTACGAAGCGTCTTATTAGCTGTAGCAGAGGCTGCTTCTGATTGGATCGCTTCCAGACTCGTGCCACCTTGCTACACAGCTCAGTCATTTGTGATTGGCTCTCGTCTCTGCAGATATTTTCATCTCGCTTTTATTCGTTGATGAAAACTTCATCTTCAGTTTTGTTCTCGTTCGCCATTTTTAATATATATCGCCTGCTTTCATCAGATAAAAACTGACGGTCAGCGACATTAACACATGCTACACCCGTGCCTACGTCAGGTGACATCACAGAAATGACCCTCCCCCGCTCAGGCGCCAACGGATGTAAGCCGTGCTCCTGCACAAACGGCGCCTTTGCTCTGACGTTAACAGAATCCGCTCTCAGCATCCACAACGTGCCAGAGGCCATCACCTCCCCGCCACCATGTGACTGCCATCACCTCCCCGCCATCACTGTCAGATTCCAGACATTATAATCAGGTCTAATTTTAAATGTGTATAAAAGTCTGTTTTTACCTTGAATATGAACTTTTTGATCCAGGGTCTCTGGGACAGGAAGTCCAGCATTGAGAAGCCGGGGTTCGGTCTCACCGCCGACATGGCCACCCAGTACCCTCCGGTGGAGCTCGGGCGGATGTTGTCAGGGAAACCCGGCAGGTTGTCCACGAACGTGTCCATCCCGCCTTTATTCAGCCCGGCCACGTGGACCCTGGTGCAGAAGAGCGTCACATGACAGACAAACGTACAAACTGCATCACATGACACCGATCAGCTGTCTGTGACGCTGAGCGGCCTCTGGGGGCCAAAACCCAAACGCTCACGCCACAGGGAACCTCACCCGGCAGCGGGTGATGTCACAGCAGATATATCCATTTTTTATTAAATGTTTACAAATATTTTATTTATTTCAAAACAAAAGCGGGTTAAAAAACATTTTTCCAAACAGAACATTTATGTTTTAGTCTCTTTAATTAGAAAAGATGAACATGATTAAAGCTTAAAATCCTGGGTTAGCACAACTGCAGAGGTCAGACTGACAGCTGCAACAGAAATATTGATTTATGTCATCGTGACCTGAGTGTAATGAACTGCATGTTTCTGATTGGCTGTAACTCAAAACAGACGTGACCACAGACCTGTTTACTGTTCACACGCCGCTCAGGCCAGAGCCTGACAGGAAGGAAGCAAAACACCTGACACACACACACGCGCACGCGTATTCATATCCTCGTGGGGACATCTCATTGCTTACGCTAAATAACCGTGACCTAACTGTAACCTAACCTGACACCAAAACCACATTTTGAGTCTCAAAAATACTTTCAATCTGGTGGGGATGTGGATTTGGGTCCCAATAAGGATTGTTGGTCCCCACAGGTATAATAAACATCCAATTGTTGGTCCCCACAAAGATATTAATACCTGTAGATGCTCACGTCTTTCTGTGTGTGTCAGGACCAGTGTGTCGCTGACGTAACATATTATGTAACCGTGCCTGATTTCTACCAGCACGTGTGAACCTTCACTAAACGTCCTCACAGTGCAGACGCGTCCCCGTAAAACAGACGTCCTCACTGCAGCGGTCTCTAACATGTAAACCCCACAAACGCAGAAAGACGTGACTCCCTCTCTCACTCACACACTTGATGTAGGTTAAAAAAAGAAAAGAAAAAAAAAAGGGTTGGATGATCTCAGAGCCTGTTTCCACGGCAACCGAGATCCAGCAAGAGCGCCATTGTGCTCCATCGCAGACGGTTGTTTAACATCCATCGTACACGAGTGGCTCACACAGGAAGTTAAAGAACGCAGATGGCAGCCTGGTTTGATTTGCTCGAGATTTTACGTTAAATCTTTTTAACTCTGAGGTTTTTAGTTTGTGCTGGACGTTCTGAACTTCTCTGCCTCGGATGGTCTCGCAGGCACAGGTGAGTCGGGTGGGTTACCTGCGGATCCGGGCCATGGTGGTCTCCGCCACCAGCACCGACTCCTCGTCCGGCAGCAGTTGGATGCCATTTGGGAATCGCATGTCCTCCATCACCACCGTCAGCTCCTTGGTCTCGGTGTTGTACTCGAGGACGCTGAGGATGAAACGGCTCGCGTTAGAGAACCGCTGCCAGGCTTTTAATGTGACATGTCACAAACAGGAAGTAGTAATCACACTAAAGTGAACTGATACACAGATGTTTCGACGTATGGATGATTAATAAACGCCATTCTAATAAGACGTTTGACTGTCAGCGCTCTCAGACACTCGTTGGACGCAGGTACCGGCCGTCGGGCGTGGCCTCCATGATGAGGTGCATGTAGTCTCTCCGCTGCCACCTGCTGCTGGAGTCGGTGAAGTACACCTTCTTTCCATCTTGCGTCACCGCCACGTCGTTAATAAATGACAGCTTCCTCCCTGCGACAACCTGGCCGCCGTTCACCAACCTGGTCGCTTCACCTGCAAAGAAAAACACACAGTCCGCTCCACCTGATCACATGACTCAGCACGAATACAGTCCAGCTGTTAGCTTTGATCCAGATGTGCTACAGTAAAACCCAGAATTAGATTTTTGGGCGCCAGAACCTTTCAGTCACAAGACATCTACGAAACTCACCTGAGCCCAGCAGGCAGGAAGCGTGGGAAGTGGGATCAGGCTGTATGATCACTCACCTGTGGTGGGGTTGACCTCGAACAGACCCAGGTAGGCATCGGCTACAAACAGCGTCCCGTTGGGTCCGACTCGGATCCCCAGCGGCCTCCCGCAGTTGGGCTCGTCCTCTCTGGAACCTGCTGGACATCGACCAATCAGAAAGGGTGCAAGGTGTGCTTGGACACAGACGTGTGAGGAAGGTTAAAAAGAAATCTTTTCAGGTTGTTCGATTCTTTTATTTTGGCACAAACAGGCTCCAAACGTCAACGAGCACAAAGCTCAGAGCTTCTGCTTCCTGCTGGAGGAAGCACCACAGCGAGCTCACGTTACCTTCGCTGACCTGAACTTCCTGTTCAGGTTCTTCCTGACACACCTGGCTGAAAGTTTACACTTAAACCAGAAACTTCAGCTTAATCAGCTGGTTTGAGTTGGAGTCAGCAGACGGCGTGCTGTTACCTGCGTGTCAGGTGTGCTGTGACGCTGTGCAGGTTTGAGCGTGTCGCCGGGTTCATCCGAGGTCTCTCACGTGTTTGTGTTGAAAGCGGCAGATCAGGGCTGAAGGTCGAACTGTCAGTTATTTATTGGGAAACTCCAAAATGAAGCAAGCGTGTGGCTGCAGGCAGGCTGACAGTAACGCCTTGCTCAACACAGGCTGACGGTTTGATCCCGTCAGCCTCGCTCATTGTCAGCATGTGACAGAGCTCAGGCTGGCTCACCTGCAGCTCCGTCACATGATGTAAGGTTTAAAGCCCTGAGCAGAGGGAGGCGGGTACACCTGGACACAGGTGAGCACCGCGTCGCAATCATTTAGGTTTCGCCTAGCCGGCTAACACATGAAACCTGGACATGCTGAAGTGTTTCTAACCTGAAGTCCAGGCCACGCCCATAAACTCTGACAGCGCACAGGAAGAGGAGGCAGCACGTGAAGACCGGAAGCACAAACGAGCACGACTCACCACACGGCAGCTTCCCGAGTCTCGTCACCATGTGGATCCTCCGACCGACCAGCTTCACGATTTTCCCGTCAGCTGTTCCCGAGAACAGAACATCTGCAGACACAGAGGGACAATCTGTCAGCTCTCGGCGCTCCTCGCCGTGGTCGCCGCCGACGTCTGACACCAACCTCCGATGTTGGCGATGGACTCGGGCCCGACAAGCTGGTCCTCAAACAGTCTCTGAGCTTCTCTGAGCTTCAGGTTGGGCTCCCAGCAGCCCTTCATCATGGGCGGTTCTTTCAGCCTGCAGCACCACGACCGACCAGCAGGGGCAGCAGCAAAAACTCGTTAACTTTTATTTCAAAAAGGATTTAACATGAATATTGTGACTTTCTCTGAACAGACAGTTTCAGATCACAGAGTTACTTTCTGTTTTTATTCATCGAGTTATTCCAGGATTGAAACATTGGGATCTTTCACACGTTTTTATGGATTTTATTTTGAAAACATCTAAACTCATTTCTGAACGCGCTGATGTTTGTAGCCAAACGAATTATTCATTAAGCGGCTGACTTGTGTCACTCACGTGAAGACTTCAGGCTTGATGGGAGACTCGAGGATGAGGATGATGACCAGGAGAGGAAGAAGCAGGAGGACGCCCAGAGAAAGCAGCGTGACCCGGAAGATCTTCCCGCTGTAGGTGCTGAGAGCAGAAACAGAGACGTGACTGCAGCGGGGCTCCTCAGGGACCCACCCCGGAACCGGACCCACCGGACCCCACGATCAACCGCGTTTCCCACACTAGCTTCATTAATGCAGGCGTCCTCGTAAACACACCTGCACGATCACATTTACAGGTGCGCATCACGAGCTAACGAGGCGAGCGTGGAAAGAGTCAACGTGTGTGAGTGAGAAGACCCCGAACACGAAGGCTAACAGAAACACGCAGCGTGTCCCCGTGGGCTGCTCAACACCGCCTCGGTGAGAACAAACCCAGCGGCTCTTACCTGGACCCTTTGCGCCGCTGCTCCGGCAGCTCGTCGGTGATCACCTGCGGGCGGTGCAGCCGCCGGAAGCGCAGTCCCGCCGACTCGTTCATGTTGCGCTCGGCTCGGTTCGGTTTGGCTCGGTTGCAAAGCGCGCGGTCACCGTGTGCAGGTTCGGTGCTTGTTGGAGCGAGTGAAGCAGCAGCCTGCTCTGACAGCGAGCAGGGATTCGTCTTCTTCTAAATGTTGTTGGCGGTTGGCAAACAACAAAACGGTGCACTACCGCCACCAGCCGGTGTGGACCGGAACGACCTCTACAAAACCCTCCGTCCTCCCAAACATTTTACCCTCTTTTACAAACTGGAACAAGGCCCGCTAACCTTCACTTCTCGAGTCCAGTAAATCAGTAAGATCCAGATTCATCTTCATGTCACCGAGGTTCTGGGTCAGTGGGTCAGTGGGCTTCTCTCCACCTGATACTGACATGATCCACGGTTTCCTCACATTTCCCTGTTATATTTCCCCACCATCAACAGTGTAGTGTTCGAACCAGTATGTCCACATCTTATTCTTGAAATGTGACCATATTGTGATTTCCAAAAAAGAGGACACTTGGCCCAGTCATGAAGAACTTTAATAATGTTTACTTAAAGAAAATGTTAACATATTTAACCCATGCCTTCTCTGTGCGGTTAATGAACGGTGAAATAAAAAATGTCATACAGGCTTTTACAAGCCAACAAGTGCAAAAACAACAACTTAAAAACCTCTGGAATTAAAATAATAGTACAGAAATAAAGCCTCATCTGTATAAGAAAGATGACCAGTCCCGCGACGGTACGAGGGAAATTTCTTTTGCGGTTCGTCTGAAAAGCTGCACTTGCGCTTTGGCTTCTTCTAAACATCATCAGCCGCGCCCTGTCCCGTCTGTCAGGCAGAACAACCACTCGCAAAGCAGCAGCTCGGGATGATGTCACACATATGGGTCCTCTGTAGGCCTATAGAAAAACCCGGACATTTTCATCAGTCTCGAAAATCCCCCCGGACAGAACGTGGAAAGTGGACATGTCCAGGGAAAAGAGGACTATCGGTCACCCCACTCCTTCCTGTGCTCCTCCTCTCCTTTACTTTCTGTGTAGTGCTTTAGTCTTTCATTCATTCGCTCCATTATTTTACAGATGTATAATGATAACAGGTCTGTATTTCCCTGGTTCATGTACGGGCACAACCTCTGCCTCCTTCCAGCTTTGCCACAGTTTCTCCCAAACTCATATAACTCTGACAAACGACCATCATAAAGCAAACCTGAGCTTTTCCTGGTGCTGATTATTTGGATTTCTGGAGAAAAATGAAACTTCCTGTTTTCAATGCAAGCTGAAAAAAAAAACAAGATGGGAAAAATGAAAACATAATAAAAGTCATTAATGAATCCAAACTATCTGAAACTTCCCAAAATCAACAACAGTTTAAGGTATTTACGCATTCACTGAGGCCATTGTATGGTCCATTTTGGCTGCATTTCCATGTTTTAAACATGAAATTTGCTTATTTAAAGGGTGTCTCATGTATCTCTTATGCAGAAATATGTGTTGCCTAGCTGGACAAATGTAGCACAGGTCTACTATTATTGGCCTAATGTATTTTACCAATCATTTCAGCATCCAGATAATCTCTTTCATACTCCCTTAGATGAATTTAGCCTGGTTGTCATGAAATAGGCATTTGAAACAATAACTACCAGTATCTTCGAATGTGTGTGATTTCACTAATCCTACACATTCTTTGCAAGACAACTGGGTGCTTTTATGTAAAGAATGATCTGAGAACACTGAGGCTAATGAAGTAACAAGAGAAACATAGTAAGTAGTCTTTCAGTTTGCATGATCAATTTTGATTATTGTTCATTTTCATTTACCATGTCAACATGTTTTAGAGCAACGTTTTCTGATTTTGAGCTCTTTTAGGTGTAAGTCATCGTCAGTGATTACCCTAAGCCCAAAGCAACACCAAACATGGGCAACCAAAATGCATCATTTTGTTAGCATGTAATTGTTCTCCCAATTCTTAGAAATCAGGAAACAACAAAAA